AAAGCATTTTTAAGGTCTTAGAGCATTTATAATCAGATAGAAGCTCAAACAGATAAGCAGATTATTTTTCTAATGTATTATTTTCCTATGGAGATGGGGGAGTCTCACTGTGCTGGAATTGGACACATGTACTCAAAGAGATCCTCCTGCTTCAAATTCCTGAGATGGTTTTAATTTAGAAAGCTTTAATTCAACATAGTAAAAATGATCTGAGCCAGAAATCTAGATGGGCTATTGACTAGAAGAGTTTAATTAATAACTTAGAGAAGAAGGGAAAATAGTAACACTAGTTTTCTGATTTAATTTAAAGGCAGGTACAAAAAAAATAACAGCACTGAACTTTATGATTCCCATCTCTCTTTAATGTTTTTCTTAAACACCCACCGTGGCATCCTTTTCAGGTATATTTACCATATAACAGGTGCAGAGCATAGAAACTTGGTTTTACCCTGCCTTTTACCCTTGACCAAACTCTGGCTCTCTCATTAAGTTGTCAGATCCTACTCTAAGATCCTTGGGCTCTTCTATGGGTCAGTCAGTAGAACTATAAAGCTTTCCTCAAAGCTGCATGCAAATGTTCATATAATTTTTGTATTTATCAGTGGAACTAACGAATGTATGAACAGATTTTTCAAAGGAATTTGGGATTCATTTCTTTCCATACAACAACACAACACAACAACCAGGTATCGTTTTTCATGAGAAAATGAAGACTGAATGGATCTTCTTTTAAAAACTATTTATTATTTTTATTTTATGTGTATGAGTCTATTGCCTGAATGTATGTACGTGCACCTGTGTCATGCAATGCCCATGGAGATCAGAAAAGCGTGTCGGATCCCCTGGAACTGGAGTTACAGACAGTTGCTAGTCACCATGTGGGTGCTGGGAACCAAACCTGGGTTCTCTGCAAGAGCAGACGGTGCTCTTAATTGCTGAGCCATCTCTCCAGTCCCCAAGTTGATCTGTCTTGACAGGGCCCTCTAACGACTTTTCTAGAGGTCTCTGCAGTTTTTAAGTGTATTTAAATAAACAGAACAGCCAGTGTGTAGACTGCAACAAATCCTTTTTCATGGCACGTGATTTGTGAAGTTGAAAAAGAAAGTTCTTAGTTCTGTAAGAGTTGTTACCAGCACATTTTAAAAGGCAGCTATTCTACATCTCTGACCAACCCTGGAGTAACATACCAAAATCAGCTATCTTGGCATTCATATGGGCATCCAACAGCACATTTTCTGGTTTCAGGTCTCGATGAACAACCATATGTCTATGACAATAATCCACAGCAGACAGAATCTGCTGGAAGAGCCGCCTGGCTTCCATCTCTTCAACCTATCATGAATAAAAATAAACTGCATTAAGAATATGTAGGACATCTACTTAGTATGCATTTTCATTTTATAATCAGTCTAAATATAACTAAGAAGAATTGACTAATTAGAATTTTCAACAATTCAGACAAAATAAATCAACCAAGAACTTGTCAAAGCTCAATGTATTATTTGATAGGTTTTGCTTTCCTTCGTGGCAATGTTTACCATTGACCAACATTACTAAATATGCACGATGTTTTGGGGACTCAGTGAAACTAAAACATAATGTATGTGAAATGCTAAGAAGTGAAACTTCAACACAATTTGACAGAAAAGATTCTGAAAACCACAGAATTCATTTGGAAACTAAGCGGAATACATTTCCCAGATCAATGTCTGTGGGGTTTTACCAGTTGTTGTTTTGTTCTGTTTTGTGTCTTTTTGAGACAGGATCTCCCTGCAGCCACAGCTGGCCTGGAACTCTATGTAGACCAGGCTGGCCTAGATCTCTCAGAGATCCGCCTGCATCTGCTAGGATTAAAGGCGTGCACCGCCATGCCCAGCTCCAAAGCAGTGTCTTGAAAGGCATACTTTTCAAGAAAGACAATGTCTGACGTTCTGCATGTTTAGTGGGCGTTATTACAGAAACAACTTCAAGCACTGAAGATATCTTTGTGGCTATTTTCTCATGCTTAGCTACTCTCTTAGCTTAAAGGTTTAGTGTACTAGATAGTGTGCTACTCACCCGTCCGTGTTTACAGATGTAGTCAAATAATTCACCTCCGGACACATATTCCATTACCATGAAAAAGTCTGTTGGAGTGCTGATCACCTGGTATCTTTTTTAAAAATAAAAAAGGGTTAGTATAAGATAATGCTTCCACAAAATTCAACCTAATATACATTTCTTGATACAATTTCATATTCTCATATTCTGCAGTATTGTAGAATGGCAACAAATTATAATACACTGTTACCAAACTAAGCACAGAGTCACAGACATGAGGAAATGTTACAAAACTATTCTCTTCCTGAGGCTTACAGACTGTCCTGCAGATCTCCCCTTTCAAATTTCCACGACCTTTGGAGCTGGAGCGATGGCTCAGCAGTTAAGAGTACCAGCTGCTCTTGTAGAAGACCCAGGTTTGGTTCCCAGCACCCACATGGCAGCTAACAGCCATCTGTAACTCCAGTTCCAGGGGAATCCAATGCCCTCTTCTGACCTCCATTGGCACTGTAAGACACGGGTGCACTTACACATATACAGGCAATACACTCACACACATAAAATAAAAAAAAATAATAAATAGTTCCCATGATCTTTGAAATCTTGTTTACAAACTAAGTAATAATTACTCAATTTAAACAAAAATTTATTAGACAATGGAGATGTGGTATCGTATGCTTCAAAAAGATGCAAGAATTATTCTTGAACATGTGAAAATATAACAGAGATATGCAATTAGCAAAATTCAGAAAGTAGACAAATCATCCTTCAACAACAAAAAGCAAGGATAAGGCAAGCTATACAACTGAAGCAATCAAAGAGACACTGAACAAAAGTTACACTGAATAGACTTGTTTCAGCTCTGACTGAAATTTACTTTGGAAACCATTAATGAAACTGAGTGTGTAGCACAGCTCTGGATTCCAGTACTCAGGAGTCTGAGAGAGAAGAATGGATGACTCAGAAGTCAGCCTGAGCTACATGACTCTGTCTCAAACATACAAATAGTAACATCAATTTGTGAAATAATCTAAAAAGTCTGAACTCTGATGAGATGGCTGATAGGATCATTCATTATTTTTAAATTTTTTATGTGATAAGACACTTATGTCATTTAAAATTTGACATTGGTTAGTTTACACATTAAAAATCTTAGAATTTGCTTTAAAATACTCTAGTGTGAGGATATGATGGGAAGTAAAGTATCACACTAGTGGTGAAGGTGGACACCAGATACACAGACACATCACTTTAATTCTGTACATGTTTAACATTTCTATAAGCAAAAAGTTATATATGCATGCATGTGTACATAAGTGTGTGTGCGTGTGTATGCGTGTGTGTGTGTGCATATGTATGTGTGTGTGCATGCGTGTGTGCATGTGGGGGGGGTGAGGGGGGGAGATACTCAAAGCTGGGCTCATTAAAACCACTAGTAGGAGTCTTAATTTTACAAAGTAAGATTTTTCCCTGAAAACTGTAGCTTCCTCCCATATACATGATTTCAGCAAACCAAGCTTTGAAAATGAGTTAAAAAATAATAATGTTTTAACTGAATAATATTATTTTTTTAACATCTCTGCATTTAACATCTATACAAATGGACAACTGTTCTACTTTTTAAAAGCGTTGTTTTCTTTATAAAGATTAGAGTTTAACTGATTATGATCAAAGCTAGTTTATACTGAGTTAGTACTCATAGCCACTAAGGAAGTATAGCTATAAAGACTTGCTGGCTTATGAGTCCTCAGGAGAAGGCACCAGTAGGAACTGATTTTGCTCTCCAGGCAAGGCACCTCAGTACAGGGATTTGTTAGAAACAGGGAACCTTTTGTTAATTTGGTTTTCAATGGGACTCCTTTTTAGCAAGTATGTGCTAGCTAGTGGGCTGGGTTACTAGTCTCATTAAAGAGCAGAGGGAAATTGGTCAGCAAGCTGATCAATTACTTTCTATCTATACTAAGAGACAACACATATGTGGAAATTGAACACTTGAAAAAATTAAGCATTAACACTGAAAACCATTACAGACTGTCTATAGAATTATTTCTTACTTTTTTTTTTCTTGAGATAGACTCTCTCTCACTGCATATACCTCAAATTTGCCCCCAAATCATAATCTTCCTACCTTGGCCTCCCAAATTCTGGAATTACAGGTGAATATCACCACACCTGGCTTGGAAGAATACTTCTAATAATAATCTTTATTCTTTAAAAGTAAACAAAATGACACAAGTAGCAGAGTAATCCACTTTACACAAAACAAATAAATACAACAGAAAAACCAAGTTGGGATTATTTCACGTGAAATGTGGAAAGGCTATTTTATTTTAGGACTCTAAAAAATGTAACCCCAAAGTAGTTTTAACTTGCATTTCCCTGATGGCTAAGGATGTTGAACAATTTTAGTGTTTCTTAATCATTTGTATTTCAGCTTTGAGAACTCTGGTTCCATGCCTCACTTTTTAATTGAATTGGCTGTTTTCTTGATGTTTAGTTTCTTGAGTTCTTTGAATATTCTAGATATTAACCCTCTGTCAGATGTATAACTGGTAAAGATTTTTTCCCATTCTGTAAGTTGCCTCTTCACTTGAATGATGGTATCGGTTGCTGCACAGAAATTTTTTACTTTCATTTGGTCTCATTTGTCAATCGTTGGTCTTAATGATCATCTTACCCAAGTCAGAATAACTAGGATCAAAAAACATAAAACAAAAACAAAAAACAAATGACAACAGATATTGGTGTGGATGCGGAGAAAGGGGAAGAGCTGTTTACTGCTGTTGAGAGTACAAACTGGTGCAGCCACTGTAGAAATCAGTGTGCAGGTTCCTCACAAAGCTAAACAGATCTAACACATGATCCTGCCATACTATTGAGCACATACCCAAAGGGCTCTATATCATCCATGTTCATTGCTGCTCTATTCACAACAGCCAGGAAAAGGAAACAATCTAGATGTTCATGAACTAATGAATGGATAATAAAAATTTGGTGCATTTATACAATGCAATATTATTCAGCTATTAAGAAAAATGAAATTGCTAGGCATGGTGGCTCACGCCTTCAATCCCAGCACTCAGAAGGCAGAGGCAGGTGGTTCTCTGTGAGTTCAAGGCCAGCCTGATTTACATAGTGAGTTCCTGGCCAGCTGGGGCTACAGGGAGACCCTGTCTCAAAATAAAGAAAAAAGAAAATTATGGGGGCTGGAGAGATGGCTTAGGAGATGGCTGCTCTTGCAGAAGACCTGGGTTCAATTCCCAGCACCCACACAACCGGCCATAATTCCACGTTCAGGGTAATTGACACCCTCTTTTGGCCTCCATGGGCACTGCATGACACAGGTTCACTTACAAGCATGCAGGCATAACTCACACACATAAAATAAATAAACAAAATGAAATTTTAAAAAGGAAAAATTAAATTGTGGGATTTATAGGTAAAAGGATGAAACTGGAAAGAATCATCCTGAAAAAGGTAACCTGGGCCCCAAAAGACAAATACTGTATGTTCTCTCTCATCTGTGGATGTTAGCTTTGGGGAAAAAAAAATATATATATATATATATATGCTTCATTTGGAATATCCACAGAGGTTCCATGAAGGAGGGGGACTCTCTCAAGGGAAGGGAGATAGACTACAGTGATACCAAGGAGGAGAGGGGAATAATGAAACAGGAGGGGTTAAATGGGGTGGAAGATGTGGGGCAGGGTAGAGGAGGAAGTATGGGAAGGGATAACACTGATGGCTTTTTTGAAAAACCATATGGAAACCTAATATTGTAGACATTCTCTAAAATTTATACAAATATAGAGTTTAAGTGGAGTTATTCTATAATGGGTAACAATGGCCCAACTAGATACCTTATCCTAGCAAATTAAAACTCAAGTATTAGGAATGGGTTATCTCTCTTCAAGTTATTGGGATCCCATAGACTGACCCCCCCTGCCCCTCAAGCACTACAGACTATTGTCACTGCTCTTGGACACCCTCCAGAACTTGACAGTAAGAGCCAATTGCTGAAGACAACACATAGGTGAGTCATAAAACATGGAGAAATAAAGTGGAGACTGACTTGGAAACTTAACCCCTATTGACTAGCTTTCATAGTGCTGGAAGGTGCTATGCATGCTACTGAAGGAGAAAAATAATCATCAGTCTTCCCCAGCTATGAACGCTGTGACTACAATAATGACTCGCCCGGCATGCTATGGCCACTAGTACAAGTGTCACAGGAGTAACCAGCCACGCTCTGCTTGAATTTAAGGTCAATTCCATGAAATGGAACCCATGCCTGGCACCGTTATCAAGGGTGAGAACTTGTGGCTAGATAAGCCATGGGCCTAGGGGAGAACCTGCTACTAATATTCTACTAAATGGGCATGGCATCAAAATGACTCCTAATGGCTCACTGTTCTGCCCATAAATTAGGGCATCTCTCAACACTCATCAGAGAGACTTCTCGCAGTAGAAGGCATTATCACAGACACCACAACTGGTCATACAGAGAATAAGAGACTGTGGAGTGCTCAGCTCTAAATGGGACACTGTATCACACTCTTCCCGTCAAGGCTCAGGCTTCTTCGAGGAAAAGGGACAGAAAGATTGTAAGGGCAGAGGTGGTGGACAACCACAAGAAAAGAGCATTTTTCAGACAGCAGGGCAGTTGCACATATAAAGTTACAGCAACTGTGAAAGCATGCACGAGATCTGCTCAGGTCCAAGCCAGATAAAATTCCAGCATGGAGGGAGGAAACAGGCATTGAGTACCCCCCCAAGATCCGGAGCTATTGGTATTTGGTAACTGCTCGGAGAGGAAGATTCAGCTTTCTTTAAAGGTGTGGCCCCTGATATGTCAACCATGCTCCAGGGCAGGTTCCACACTTAAGAATGTGTGAAACACAAGTTGAACTAAATGGAGGCAAAGATACCCATGAAGTTGGGTGGGTAGGGAGGTGGGGATGGATTTGGAAAGAATTGGAGGAGAGGAAAATATGATCAATATACATTGTATGAAATTCTCAAATAAAAATATTTTTTAAAAAGAACTCTTAAAGAAATGGTATAATGAAGGCTATTTTGACAGACCCAAAACTTATGAAACAAACTAAA